GTAGCACATTGAATAGCATTGACCTGTAAGGCCTCACTGGTAAAGTCTAGTTGGCCGACTCGGGATGAAATATTACATCTTTTAATATTTCCAATCATGATTATTCCTTATTTCATTAATAATTTTAGATTTATTTTCAAGTTTTTATAATAAATAGATATATTATCTTGTATATAATGGCGGTGATAATATTACAAACTTTTTTTGAATTTTAGTATTATAAATTAGATTTTTTCTTGGAATGATAAATGAAATTGATATTTTTTGTTGGGCATCAATATTAAACAAGTAATAAAATTTTTAAATTTAAATACGGGCTTAGTTCAGAGAGCAAATAAATCTGTATTAAAAATTGCATATAATTTGACAGGGTAATAATTATGCTAAGCAAATTCGAAATTCTAAGAATCGAAACCTCAGCAAAAAGTGGCGAAGCGGAAGGGAATAAACAGGCCATCTGAGAAAGTGGAAGTGAAACACTAGTGTATTCAATATTCTATTGCTATATACTGTTTATGTATTGAATATTTTGGATAATGTATGAATATTAGGTATTGAATAATTATGAAATGATATCGAAATAAATATTATTATTATATATTCATGTAATTTTTTAAAAATATTTATAATATAACATTTTAAACCTATTGTAAGATTGAACTTCATGGTAAATGAAATTTTTTAACTAAAATTTTATATTTATCCATAAGGATGTTTTAATTTTCAAGTACAGTTTGAATTTATTAATTTACTTAATTATATTTTACATATTAAAATCTATAAGGCATCTAATAATGATATTTTCTATTTATGCATAGAATCAATTATAAATTTAATAAATCAATCGTTATTTAGAATTTAAAACAACATATTGTATAAATTATGTATTTCAGTTTCACTCAGAGAATGAGTATACAAAAATTAATATGAATGAAAAGGTATTAATAGAGTAAAATTAGTACAATATTCCAAACTACGATGTTATTTTCATTCAAGAATGATATATTTCGACCTGTAATTAAGGCAGAAAGCCATACAATATTCCAGTATACGTATTATTATATAATTTAACACAGTTAAGATTAACAAAAAGATACATACGGGACTCATTTTCCTGTGAATAGAAGAATTTACGTTAAGAGGTATAGTCGTCATAGAATAAAAAACAAAAAACTTTTTATTGAGCAAAGTCGTACAGAGATCAGCTGATGTTAGTTTGTCCGTGGCCACGCACCACAAAGCTACGGTTGACGGCCTCCGTTCGCTCATTCATCCATTCAGCGATACACCCATTTGCCTCGCTTTTCGCCCACAAAGCCAAAGAGTCAGAAAAGAGCGTGCGTGCGTGCGAGAGGAACCATCGGCTATGTTCCATTCAAAATTGTACGCTACACACGCGGACCTCTTGTGGACGGTGTCTGATAATTGTGATAGGGACGGTGGCAGTAACAGCAGCAGCAAGAGCAGAAGCAGCAACGGCGGTAGCAGCGGCGGCGGTGGCGGAATTTAAGTAGGTCGGAGAGAAGCTCGACGCGCCGCCGGTATCACGAAACTGCTGCGACGAGTCAGTCTCGCCAAGCTATTCCGGGAGTCAACAGGTGCCTCGGACTCGTACCGCAACGTTCCATCCGAATTCACCAGCACAGGCAAACACCTCGCATAGAGGCACATCACGCCCGAGCTTTCTCGTACCAGGTCGCAATTAAATCTTAATATATCGCACAGCGCGCTATGGTGTCATAATAGTTCATCACCGACTCTCCCTTAGTATTAATCGTTTGTTTATTGCGTTGCGCACCCACACGATAGAAATTACAGGACAACTAATTGGATCTATTATTGGAGTTTAGTCCAAGGCGATGGCGAATTTAAAGGTATAAAGCTGCAACAATAAAGCAAAACAAAAAATGAGAGAAAGAGAGAGAGAGAGAGAGAGAGAGAGAGAGCGGGTCTGAGGGAGAAAAAGATAATAAAGAAAGGCATATAAACATCTCATCGAGCCATCTTCCTTAATTAATACTATTGTTTGTTCATTGATTGTGATGATTGATGATATTCTTAGGCATTATCATTTTACGGACTAATTTTTCTGCACTGAGATAGATGATATATGAACACGATTAAGAGGTAGAAAAATTTGATAGAGACTATAATTATTATATTTTCTTCCGCGTGCCGCATCGAGGGAAAGCGGACTCTAGATTCGCGGTTTCGGACGACAGACTTCTGTAAAAGAGGGATAAGACTAAGCTCCACTGAAGAACTAGATTAAGTTAATTACTGATTGTACGTACAATTAGTGTCTCACTTTCAGTGGGAATACTGGAGCGAAAATCTTACAAATTTCTAAGTGTTTATAAATGTATTTGAAGAAAGGATGATAAGAGAATAGCCGAAGGGATAAAGGTCGATAGTAGGCATTTTAAGAACATCTTATTATGATAGAAATCATGAAATATTTTTGCTAGTTAAAGAACTAAGCAAATATCTAAAATTTTTCCAAACGATATAAATTGTTTTTTATAACAAATTTAATTTAATTTTATGATTATTTACTCATAAAATAAATTATTGAAAGATATTCAATAATGAATTTAGAAATAAATTAAATTAAAAATACAAATAGGTAGTGCAGCAATAAAATAAAAATATATATAAGATTCAATAGGTTTTAAATTACGAAATCATTTTTAGTATAATATATTTTTAAAGAATAAATATAATATATATTTTTAAAGAATCGTCTATTTTCCATTGCAATTATTATATGAAAATTTAAACATATTTAGTTTTCTAGTTTGCTTTGATTTTATTATTTTCAAAAATATACAAATATAGATGAATATACCTATGAAATATAATAAACAAATTAATTTTATAAATTTCATATTTTACTTTTCTAAGTGTAAATTTTGAATATAACAATGATTTTATTTTTAAACTATTAATTCTCATTTTAAATTGATCGAACTTTATTGCTTATACATACTAAATTAATATTAAAAATATTTCTTTAAAACATGAAATTTCATTTTAATATATAAAATTCATAGTACATATTAAAAATTCTAAACTAGATTAATAATTTATGTTATTAAACGTAAATTATTTACAATGTTTTTCTAAATATGTATACATAATTTATAGTAAAGAAATAAGAGACGTGATAGATTTTTATTATAATGAATAATTTAGTTGATTTGAACGACAATATTATTTGAAAATTCTCAAAATTGTTTTGTATTAAATTATTCCTCATTTACTTTTCGAAAAAATCTTTCAAGATTTACTTTTTATGATTAAATTACTTTATTTGAAAGTTTAAACGTATTTTTTTTTGTCAGATACTATTGGCAGTCATATTTCTCTCAACAATTTCATCATTTGCAACTTCGTCAAATGATGAGCTACCTAAGCCCAGCTACACACGCACGATGCTTAAGGTATCTCGAAGCTTACCTGGAGAAACGGAAGAATTGAAAGTTCGAACAAGTGAGGGAAATATTGCCACTCTCATAGTTAAGCGTCGTGAGAAATCCGTCGTCGATATTAGTAATGATAATACTCGCAATGGATCCTTTTCGGAATCAGCAACGCCAACCACCAAAGCTCAATCTACACCTCCGACTATCGGATATAGAAATGTAGATGTTGATCCGTGGAACCGTTTACAAATTTGGACTAGTATATCGGATGCTAAAGAAGAGCCTAAAAAAAATTGGTTACCTGTAAATCGCAGCTTTGATAATTGGAAGCCAATGGAAAAACCCTTTGAACCTGCAGCTACCCAAAAAAGTTCCTGGCTTGTTTCTGATCAACTGGAAAACTCTCGAGGGTTCCAAAGTGTTGCTGCGGATAATGGCTCTGATGAAAGAATTATACGTTATACATTTTTACCTCACGAGTCTCGTCGCATCCAACGCACAAACGTAGGCGCCAATCTACTGAAGAACCGTGATGCAAAGAACGTCCCTTCAGAAGTTGTAGTGCGTTCAGAGATTAGTGTAAAACCTCAACCAAGTCAACAATCGTCAGAACCTAAGCGATCGTCTATATCGCTAGATGTTGATGGTACACCAATTGTGCATGGTAGAAGAGTGCCAGATGAACCAATTGATAAGATTCAAATTTGGAGGAATGCCAGAGTCATAAATAATAAATTAGTTACCAATGTTGATTCTTCAACAACAGAAAGAGGATTATTAAAATCTGGACAAGGTTTCGAGAGATTTTTCGAAGATGTAAATCGCAGGTGAGGAATGCATGGTAGTAAAGGAAGTCTATTATTAACTGCATTATTAACACTTTTGAAATCATATTATTCACCAATGTGATTGTATTATGTATTTGGAATATAACGAGCCAATAAAAAATAGCCTCTTTTGCATTGAGCTTATTGAAAGAAGCACACCTATAACAGCATAGAAAGATTAATATAATTAAATTCTTGTATATTTTTACAAATTACTAATGTTACGGAAAATTTTATTAAACCTTATATATATATATATATAGATTTTATTAGATTGAATTAGATTGAACAATGTTTTTATGTTATGATTTAAAAATGGTTTTATGCATTTACATAATTATGGATTAATTCAAGCAATAATCACAATTTATATAGCTTTACTGTAGCTAAGCTGAAGAAATAAAAGTCTTTATCTTGAGTTGATTTTATTTTTATACTTTAATTTTTGACCATCAAAATTTTAACAAATTTTCTAGTTTACATCTTTATCGTATATATTTTATTTAATTTTGTTTTGTAATTTTTGGTTACATGTAATACATAACTATACATTTGTCATATCGTCTAATATCTTTATGTCAATACGAAAAAATTGTGGCTTATGTCATTCTAATCAAAAATAAAAAAATGGTAAAAGCATGTTTTTGATTTTCAGTAAAATTATAATATCTCCCTGAATCAGCAATAAAAACCATCATTCGTTCACATATAATATACACAACTAAACTTGTTAAATACCAATCTAACATTTAAAAAATAAATTGCAAAATTTCAGCTCAATTATTAATAAGATTAAATTATATTTTTAATTCATCGTAGTAATCTCATATGAAATGGCGCTGCTTTTAGTTGTATTTCTAAATATTTATAAATATGTATTTCTTCTAATTTTTGTGTAGTTATGAATCTTCTATAAAATATATTCACATTATTTAGACTATAAGTCTAAATTAAATTTTGTTAATATAAATTAACGATTTATACATTATTATTTATTTATAATATGTAGTGTCAATAAAATACTGTTAAAAATACTATAGAATTATTCAAAAGTATATTGGTACTTTAATAATTTTTATTATAAGTAATGACATAATATATTCTTTTATATTTTCATTCAAATACCATTATATGTTTCGAAATTAAAATATATCATTTCAAATATGTTTAATTATAACATTTGATGGTTTATATAATTGATATATATATATAATTTATATTTTATCAAATTGTCATTACATTTCAGAAGTCTTTTAGATAATTATTTGGGGTATACAATAAATCCAGTTACTATCTGTTATTCAATATTATACAACGATATAAAAACAAGATTGATTTTCAAAATAAAATTTATTTTCGAAGAATACATAGATCTAATCAAATAGTATAATATAGAATAATATTAATTGAAATAATTATACGTATAAACTTCTAAATGTTTGACAAAAGAATTTCATAATCATTGTTAAAATATTTCACATTGAACATATTTATTTTCAAAAATTTTAACAAATGGGAGAAGTGTGAATTTTTTAAATTTTATTCTCTTAATCCTATAAATATTACAAATATAGAAAATAGTTTACAAATATTAAGTTACAATTAATTATAAAGAATAAAATAGCAAAATAATATTGATTAATAATGATATTTGTATTAATTGAATAGATATACTTTGAATTATTTTCCTTTGCAAAGAAAGTGACAAAATATCTGAATATAATTTTTCAATAATTTTTTTTTAACAGTACAAACACATCATTTATAATTTATTAAGATTTTTCAAAGTAAGTTTAAAATCGTGATATTTTAAATTAGTTAATTCATATAAGCTATTCTTTACGAAAATTTAAATATTTTTAGTTATTCCATAGGTTTCTACCTAGAATTTATACACATGTTAAAAACTATAACTTCTAATATGTTTAGTCGTGGATATATTAAAAAAATTATTCTTATTTATGAAAAATTTGTTTTTATATTACTATGTGGGTTGGAAATGCATAACAGGTTTTAAATTCGCAATTTCGGTTGCGTAAATAAGAATCATTTTGTTAGTAATCATGGTACACAAGTCGAAAGTATATACCCATATACTATATGTAGAAATCTAAAATTTTTTTTGTTCCTTGGTTAATTGACTATTAAAAAAAGTTTCTCTTAAATGTAGAAAATTATTTTCTCTGAATTATATGAATATACATTTTGATTTTTTATTAATACATTTATTATTAATTTAATATTTTTCTTCTTAACAAAATGTTATGTTAAATAGGATTTAAATAATTTAAGTATTTGATCATATTTTGTTCTACATAAATTTTTGTGTTTAAATCGTTTTCTATATAAATAATATAAAATACATATGTAAATTTATTTTAAGATTCATATGGATTAGCCATACGTAATAGTATTTTCTAATCATTTGCATGTTTTTAGGATTTATGAAGCATTAAATGGCTACGAATTCTATAATTTGTTATGTATTTAGTTCTTATGTAAAGAAACTTTGAAAACTATTCGAATAAATTCGCTCACCGACATGGACATTAGGTCAGTTAATATAATAGTAATATTTCTAGGAGAAAGTAAGTAGCTGAGAGTTTTGTTGACAGAAAATTGGTAAATTCGGCGTGAAAAGTACATAAATAAGGATAACATTAAAGACAGTAAAAGTCCAAAATTTCATCAAATTTAAATATTTAAATTAGATTGAAATTGCAAACATATACACACAATGCATTTCATATAGAAATAACTAGAATGGTTAAATAGAAATAAGTTTATGAAAAGTGATTTTGTAATATTATTAGTTATGAATATTCTAAGATCTGATTTATATAATTATTGAAACACAGCTTGTTATTCAAATAACAATGCGACAGATAATTTTCGTACGAAATTCTTATTTTTTCGATTCCAATTTAAAATATAAGTCGAATCAAAATAGTAAATAGGAATATCAATTGAGATTTTTATAATATTAAAGGCCTTTATATATGTGAGTTCAATATACGATTTTTAAACATAAAAAAATTAATTCCAGAAATTAAGAAATTGGAAATAAAAATCAAATAGTTTAATTTAATATTATTTATTATGAATAAAATTATTTAATTTAATTATTCATAATAAATGTACCACTTTAAATTTTTAATTACTTGTATTATTTATGACTGATAAATACTAACTTTATTATTAGATAGTAAAAATAATAATTGAATGAAATATTTCTGACTTCGCATTATTTATCGTTGTAAGTTTTTAAAAATGTTTAAAATTTGTAAATATTTTATTTTATTTCCTTTATTTTGTTTTAAAATAAAAATGTTTTATAATATAAATATATGTAAATTGTAATATATGATAAATAATATAGACATGGAACCAAAATAAAGAAGAATTTATTATTGTAAATATAAGGTTTAAACTAAGTATTAGTATTTTATAAATAGCTTTATTTTATTGTACAGTATAAATATTTGACAATCTTTATTTACTTGCAAATTTAAGAAAATAAATGAGTATGTAATTCTAATACTAACATACTAAACATTCAGATGTTCAAATAAAGTTAGTCATTCCATTAGATTTAACAATAAAACTTCTGAATTCCAATTCCAAAATCTAATAAAAATTCTGAAACAAAGGTACGGAAAAACTCCAGAGAATAATCTGAACAAACCAAAGACATATCGAAACGAGGTCCTAGCTGCGGAAATTTATGAAACCGCAGAGGATACGTATCGACCTAGTATACATAAGCGGATGCTGCAACCTGAAGTAGCTGCAATTTATCCTAACTCGCGAATATATTCACCACCTGATTCCCGCAAGTCACCAATTTCTAATATTAAGCCTGGAAGCCGAGCACCAGTATTGCAGTATGCACATCCTGAATTAGGCGTACAGCCCGCTAAGATAGTGCAAAATGAAAAGAAAAAGATAGACGATGTGACTACAGCTCCAATAAATCAGCAGTACAATAATCAATTAATACAGAATCAGAATCAGAATTCTCAGAATTATTATTATGGTGAACATAGACAAAAGAAGAAATATGTATTGAATGATAAAAGCATTGTAGATTCTTACACAGTTAAAAATTACTATCCAAATCAACATTTTTACGGGCTAAAGAGACCAATGAGTGAAGCACCATTTTGGGTAAAAATATCCGAGAATTTGAAGACTCATTTTACCGATGGTGTTGCTAAGGTAAGCACAAGATACAATTACAAATTTTTAGAAAACATTCAGTAAAAACTGATACTCTATCAGAAATGTAGATAGACACGTAAAAACTGAATAATGTAAAAATAAGAATTATAATTTATTGTACAGGTGTACACGCTGTATAAAATAAATGCAAATAACATACAATTAATTGCAAAATATTTTATTAAACATTTAAAAATAACGTATAATGACAATATATTGTACAAAATGTATATTAAATAATGTATTAATTGTATATTGTATTTTTATAATAATAGGTTTGTAGCAGTAATTATACATTGGATGAAGTAATAAATTAGTGTCTGTAAAATTTCTTATATATAGTGCCAGCTACTTTAGCATATTAAGCAATAATTACTAACTACTATCTGGGAATTTAAGATAAATAACGACTATAAATTTTCTCAAATTAAATTAAATAATTACTTAGATAATTATTATATAGATTTTTGTATTGATATAAATATTTTTCTTTTTAAGCCTTAGTCTCATTAATCGTAGTCATATAATGCTGCACATCATCTATTATATCATAATATTATATCATAATAGTTAGCATTAACATTTGATTTTTAATAATTTATATTTATCATCTCATTAATTATCGTACTATTATTATTATTATTATTATTATTACTAATATATTTTAGGAAAATTATTATTTATTTTAAATCTATTAAATAGAAATTCTTTTCCACGTTGTTTCTTTCATTTCTTTTTTACATTAACAATGTTTTCAATCATAAATTTTATTACTTTATTCTCAATAATAAAATATATCTCCGTAAATGATAAAGAACTTTATGATGATCAAAATAAAGAGAATAAATTGGTTTTAAATGTTTTACATTAATTTACAAATATTATATGCTCCTCATTTATTAATTTCAAAACCATCATTGTCATAATATTAATCTTTTTTTTCTAATTGTATTTTATTTATTTTTGTTATATTTTTTAATCATATTTTCACAGTTTCTTAAATATTTTTTACAACATTGTTCTTTATTGCTTCGTTAAAAAAACTGCACTCTAGTGCAGTGTTTATCATTTAAAATATTGTATTTTTATTAGTTTATTAATACATAACTCTTCTATTCTATAATTTCAATATATAATCAATTAAATATACAAAAACTATTCTAACATAGGTATTTGGAGTAAATTTAGAAAATAAATTTAGTATTAAAAAGTATATTTCTGTGAATGTTTATTGACGAGAAATTGTGAAGGATCATAAAGCAGAATATTTTGAATGTAGCATAATTAAAAAAGTATTTATGAAATGAAAATAGTTTTTTATAAAATGTATATAGGTATCCGAGTTAACAAAACCGGTGATCGATCCTCTTGTCGAAGCAACTCGTAAAATATCGGAAAATCTTGGATTATCAAAAGTACGCTCACAAGATTATGCTCAGGACAAGATTGGTACTGTGACCGCAGGATCTTCGGTTCTCATACCGGCACTTGGACTTATGGCCTCTGGTGCAGCTTTGGGCATTGGAGCTGTTGCAGTTGGTCGCTACCTCGATGTTGATATGTTAAAACGGTCGAACGATGAAACAATACTAAATACATCGGATGATCAAGAGAGGACATTGCATATCATTTCACAGTTAGACGATAACAAGGCGCCGCAGACTTATGGGAATTCGGAGACTGAAGCGAACGTCGATGGAGTGTACATTCTTGTTCAGAATAATGGAATACATGAAACAGATACGAGGAGAAAGAGAAATAGTGACAATATACCTGTTAATTTTAGGTGACGAATGTGATTTTCTCTATAAAATACGATTAAGAGTAATTTAATAAAATAATAGTGATATTATTGATTTTTTAAAGCTTTTCTCATCTATATGACATTAAAATAAAAATCTTAAGTAAAATATTAATTTTTATTTGAATCATTAAAAAGTTCTTTTATAATTACTTAAATATATTGAATGCTATTTTAATGTATTTATTATATTTCTAACATTAAAAATTAATAGAATCAAGACTTTTTAATACTTAAAAGAATTATACTGTAATATATAAATATATATATATTTTATAGTGTAATAAGAATTTCACGATAGTTTAATTTTTGTAATAAACAGGGAAATTCAACGGAAAGGTGCTGACTCGATTACCGAAATCGTAGAAGTGGATTTACCTTCCAAATTACTTGATGATAGAATAAATAGTGAGAATAATAAAATACATATAGAAAATGAAGATGCTTTTGCTGAAGCGGTGATTCATCAAGCTTTAAATGCTATTGTAAGGCAATCAGAAGCAATAAAAGATGATGTAAGACACAATATTTTTTGTTTATATTTTTTTAATGAAAAAATTAACGCATTTGCGCATTAATTTTAACTAATATAAAGATGTATTATTTATTAATTTTCAAATTGTATACAATAATGTGAAAAATTATATTTTTCTTTTTATACAGAACTTTTCATTATTATTTTTTCATTATTACAAAATAATACAAGTTATAAAAAAAATAACTTTTGATATTACAAAGAAAATAGTAAAATAATAAGCAACTTTTTATAGACTTTTAAGATATAATTTATGCTAATGTAAAATAATAATTATCTAATAATGCCATCTATTTATTTATATTAATTTTAAAAATAGAGATTTATAATACCAATTACATTGGAATTAGGATCTTGTATTATAATAATACATAATAAATGCTAATAAAGAGCAATTTAATAAATTCTAACAATGAATATTTGTATGTTTATCGAAAAAGTCTAATGGAATTCAGATGAGAAACAGAATAAGATCAAGACTGAGACGTAGTTTGAACAGTGTTAATAATGATGATGAACTTAATGATGCTCTTCAAAATTTAGAGAAGACCGAAATAATAGATGCAAATAGTGGACATATACCTGGTGATTGGACGCGTACATTATGCGCTAAAAGAATTTTTTGTGACGCCATGGTCAGGCGTGGTTCTGATGCTTATATGTTTATGGAAAAAAAAATGTCTGGAGTTTTGAAGATGTAAGTATAATTCAAAAAAAATCTGTAGTTTTGAATATGTATGTATAAATAATATATATATATATATATATATATATATATATATATATATATAGTAATTGAAAAAAAAAAAATATTTCCATCTAATTTCATAATTGACATGCTCTTAATTTAAGGTTTTTTGTATAAATTCTAAAATTGAAAATTTTATTATTTCGAATTTTTAAATTATGTCGTTAATCGGTATTTACATAAGATTATAGTTTTTCTTTGGAATTTTAGTTGTTAAGGACATTTTTGATATTTTTTAAGAGTTTTTCAAAATTGTTTACTAAGTAGCTTTATTAGAATGATTTTTTTTATGTTTATAATTAGAATTTTATCATTATAACATTAGTTGGAAAATAAATAATAAATATTTTTGAGATTTTTAGAAAATTTTTTACTTAATATAAAAGTTTTTTAAATGATTTTGTATTTATTACGTGTAAAAAAATTTTCGCTATATTGTTTGTTGTATTGTAATAATATCATTTTTTATATTTAATAATAATGTAATTATACGTAATAATATTTATATGCTTCTTTTATTTGTTAATTGATTATTAAGTCGTTACTTATTTTATTTAATAATTAATTATTATTTCCCTGTATATTATTTTTTAAAGAATAATATTTTATGAAGCAAACTTATTGTAGAGTAAAGTATTGTTTTAATTATATTGAAAAACTTGTCGAGCAAAGAAATAATATAGAATATATACAAGTTCACAAAATAAATACAAACTTATATTAATATAGTTAATTCATTTAATAAAAATTTCTAATTAATATGATTAATTGCCAATGACATTCATATTTCATTATAAAGTATTCATTATATTGCAAAAAATGCAGATATTTACTGATTAACTGTATAATTGATAAACATCTTATGATATTGGGCTGGTAAAATTCCTTTATATAAATGTTTTTAAGATTGATTTAACTTTTTCTTTATAGTTCTTACTCAGCTGTATAGTAGATGACAAATAATATGTTAAACATATTTATAAATATTTTTGTTCTTTTAGTTTGATTAGATTCAAATATTTTAAGCATGTAAATTCCATTTACAATCATATAACTTTTACAAATCACAAATCCGCACAAACATATTTAATACGTATATTAATTTTATATGTAATAATGTCGGATAATTAAAAAAAAAAATAAATATAATAAATATTGTCTGTATCTCATATAATCGAAACATTATAATTGGGATGTGATTAAAGATAACGTTCATAAAAAGGATTAAAAAATTTGAATTCACGAAAAATTACTCTATTTTTTAGAATGTCGTTTGCACATATACTATTGAATTTTTTAAAGTATTTCTCAATTACAGCAAAGAAAATAAAAAGTGAAATCTAACGTGTCGAATTAAGAAAAAAGAAAGAATGTGCCGGAATGACTTTCCCTTTGCAAGACTTTTGCTCGTCTTTCATGCATACATCATCTTATCGAGTCATACTCTTTCGTCTTTACGACTTCTACCGTCTAGAATTAGCACAGTTTTCACTTATAGTGAGAATAAGGAAAACTTGAAATTGCATTTAAGTAGTACATATACATTTATGTGAATGGCATATATAATCTTATGTTAGATTTTTTTTTTATGTATTCAAGTACATTTTTCGTTTAAATGAATTTCAATTAATAAATCGTAGGATAATTTCTTCAAATTTGTATATAATATTTATATTAAAGAAAATTAAAAATTCTTTAAAAAAGGAAAAATTGATATATAACGATAGCGTCTTCAATATACTTATGACCTTTTATTATCAGTTTTGAATCTGATTTATTATATTATATGAAAAACATAAGATTTTATATTTCTCCAAAAAAATTCAACGAATTATGACGGGATTAAAAATTTTAAATTAAATTCTTTTTTTTATATTCGGAATTTCAATTACATATATAAAATGAACAGAAAGTACCTAATTAATATTTTTCAATAAGCTAGATTTCAAAATAATGAAAATATTACACTTTAAAATTCGATTCTTGAAAATTCAAAATTTTTTATTTGTAAATATTTAATAGTTTTTTCATTAAAACGAATTAATTTGATATCAAAAGTTCACATGAATTAAACAATTTCATTGGCTTATAGATAAAGTACAAACAGTATGTAAACTTATAATTAACATAATTGATAGAATATTAAGTACAAGTAGAAATATGACAATGTAAAAGTAAAAATATCTAAATATAATTCATTAAATTCAATCCTTAAATTCTATACAATTTACTTTATAATGCTTTAATAAAGTATATTGCATCTGTAATGCATGAATGTTTTGTATTCTATGAAACTTTAGTTTCTTCATTGAAATAAGAATAAGAATTTCAATGTATAACAGTATATGTACAAAAAGTATTTGATACAATTGTCTTATAAATTTCTCTTTCTATGTTCAGGATTCAACCTGACGCTGCGATACAAGTGTCCACCCACTTTGATCAAGTCATGAATGCCGTGAGAAGGCACGACTGTTCAATTTTCTCATGTTCGGATACCAGACCGGCAACCGTCTTTTTTTGAAATCGATCGAAGAATGCTTCGCATTACTAAATTGCGATGACTTATTAGCGATCAATTTGGTAAAAAAACTTACGTATGTCTTATTCTTGTTACAAAAGTCACAGAATCAATTATATTTTAATATAAATAAAGCTTAAACGATTTTATAGTATCAATAAAATGTAAAAATTTTATCGATCTAAAACTATATTGTTTATTTTTATATATTTAATAGAATAAAGTCTATTTGTTTTATTCAAATATACCAAATTTTCGTAAAATATAAATGCTCTGGAATCTCTTTATTCTCATACGTGTTGTAAAATACTTTCACATTTGAAATTTACTAATTTATTTATTTATGTTTTAGGTCTTTAACTTTTACCTGCAAGAACTAAGACTGTCGGAATGAAAATGCGATTTGTTTATTGGTGCTGTACATACAACCTGTTATTGCGCGAATGTTGAACTAGATTATTAAAAGTTTATTATTAAATTTTATTTCATTAAAATCAATTTAAATAGGCAAAGCATTTGAAAAAATGTTTCTTATCTTGTACTTTAATAAATGTTTACAAATAAGTGAACGTTGAGGCTTTTAAATTAAAATACACGTTACGTTGTGTTATCACAGATTATTTTAATTAAAAATTCGTATTTTTGTTACTTGTGTTTATATGTTAATTATTTTATCAAAAATATTTTAATTTTTATTAATTACTGTTACTATAATATATTTCTTCTAATATTACGTAATAAAACATAAATAAATTGGTTTTTTACAGTTACTTTTTGTGCCCTTCTACTTTAGCAAACTATAAATTATTTTTTCCGATTCAAAATGTTAATAAAGAACAAATATTAAGGTAAATTAAAGTTCAAAATTATTACTTAGGAATCACGCACATTTGTGTTATTGGTTTATATGCAATAAATAATTAATTTCCATATGAAATATTTGAAAAATATTTGAAAAATATTTCATATTTAAATCTGTATTTAGTTATAATTTTTCTACTTACTTTTATACCTCTCAACTGATGTTAAACATATTTATGTACATTCATTTGAATAAAATAGTGACGATTGATGGTTACTTTTGAAAAAGATTATCCGTCTAGCAATTTATTTTAAAAATATCAAATTATAGTATTTATACGATATTCGATTAGATACAGTCAATTCTACAGTCTATTGTAGTTTGATAATTTTATTAAAAATATATATGTCACATTATACTGTTTGAATTAAGAAATGTTTTTTAAAGCTCACCAAAGTATTATTGCAATTTGAATTTTTAGATTACATGAAGTAGAACGGCTTTACTACGTACAAATTATTAAAAGGTAGCTATGGAATTAAATTCGCATATACAAATTTATTATATTAGTCAATTAATTAGATATGTGAAATACATTGTATAAGAATAAGGTTGTGCATGCTTATAATTTATTCATATTAAACATAATTTGCTCAAAAGTATAACAAAAGTATCTAAGGAGAATGAAATAAGCCTAACTTTTTCAGACAATCTTTAACATTGTATAAAGATACTTACCATGTAATAACTTAAAACTAATGCAGTGATCCATAAAAAATTCACTGTCATATAATTTTCTTAAGCCATACATTCTGAAAAAATAGAAACATGTGCATGATAGCTTAGAATGCATGATAATGTTATGATGCATGATGTGCATGATAATGGTATAGTTTAAAACCAAGATGTAATTATGAAGAAGATACGAATAGAGCTAATTATTAAAAATTTAGTTGATATGCGTAATAGTAAATTTACACTCATTTTCCTCGAGCATGCGCTGGTTGTATGCGTAATAAAGCATATTGAAGGAAAAATTTCAGTATACTGTTGATGTATAGTATTGTAACAACCATATCGTACCTTTATAATGAAGACTAAGATTGCAAATACTTCCAAAAAAGAGAATTTAAATTTTCAAAATCATAAGATTGATGGTAACTACTATTTAAAGATATTTCCATATATTTATAAAATGATATAATAAAATGATATAATTTTAAATATAATAATATATAGAAATTTTAACTATTATCTTAAATGAATACAGAGACATTAAATTTCAAATATTACAATTTACTACAAAACATATTTTAATATTATTTTATTAAAAAAATATATATTATACTATATATTTTTTTATTTTTTGTAAAGTATAGTTATTTATATATTTTATTATAATTACTGTTTTCATGTTTAATTTCATATCATCTGATGTAGATTAAACTATCTAATCTAAACTAAAGTCAGTATGTAAAACTGTAATTATACGATTCACACTAAAATTATTACTAATAAGATAAAAATATTCTAAATATTTAGGAATTTCGAGTAACATATTTTAGGATACAATTATGCGATAGGACCATGTCGCTTTCTTTTACGATTACTTGGTGCTTGGCCTGATTTTCATTATCAGAGGAGCTGGATATCATTTATATGCATTCTAATAACAATAATTACCATGTTACTGTTTTGTGTTATTTCACAATCAGTAAAAATGTTTCTATCTTGGAGAAATTTCAATCTAATTATAGAAATTTTAATCAACTGTAATATTCCTACGATCATCGCAACAACGAAAATTTTTAGTATTTGGTATCATAGATACGGTAAAACCATTTCTTCTAATAAAATATTTATAAATTTTTTAGTATTAAGATAATACAGAACTCATAAAATTTTGTATTTTTTATGAAAGAAGTTGTACAATTTTTTGTTAATATTAAATTTTTTTAATATTGAAAAATTATGATATCTAATTATATAAATACAGATAGAAACACTTATCTATTTGACAATTAAATTAAATTGTTGTATACATAATTATTATTACACATAGAAAAATTATGTGCATAAATTTTTCTCATTCAGTTTTAAAGGATTTACTGCTTCAAATTATTGAAGATTGGAAGATGGTACATGTTGAACAAGAATTGATAATAATGTGGACTAATGCTAGGATTAGCCGAATTTTATGTATTGGGTGTATTTTCATGACTCAAGCAACACTTTTATGCCAATGTACTGTCGGTATTTTTAATATTCTGTCTTATATTTCAAATATGAATCCTAATGATACTATGTCAAAACCTTTGTATATGGCGGGTTCATTTCCTTACAATGTTCAAGTATTTCCAAATTATGAATTATCTATATTCGGCCAAATACTTTCCAATATATTTGCGTCAACTTCGTTTTCATCTGTCGATTCTTTTTTCATTGTTCTTATGTATCATCTTATTGGGCAATTGTCGCTTCTTAAATTGGCATTGTTCAAATTACCAAATAAAATTGAAAATGCAGAGGATAAAAAAATGTTTTTTGATAAATTTTCTTTACTTCATAGGAGGCACAATCAACTATGCAGGTAATAAAAATATTAATTAATATTTTTATGAAATATTTGAATAATATTAATATTACTGCACTGATAAGTATATTAACTATTATTAATATTGTTATTAATAGAAATAACTTATCACTAATAATAAATTTGAAAATATCTGAAAGTATATGCACATATTAAGATTTATGTGGATATATTATTTTTATATTTTATAACTTAAGAAGTCAGTTAATTATTTTATACATTAAAAAATATTTTTTCTTTATAATAAATTATTATTTGTAGAATAAGTATAATTTTGAGTATCGAATAATTTCATAATTAGATGTAATTAAATAAATACATATACTTATATAGCTACTAAAATAATATATAATAGATTTAATATAAATTTTAATTAATTAACAACTATAATAGTTTTATTATCTACAAATTCACTCTAAACCAATTGCCTTTATAAATAACACTCTTTCATTTTTAATAAATTCAGAAACTCTACAAGCGAAGCATATTTAGTATATATTGACTTAAGTTAAAGAATTATTCTTCAATTAAAATAATATTAATAACTATTCATTTAAGCTTTTAATTTTTAAGATTTTAATGACGTTATAACATAATTCTTTTTTTAATTGTAATTTTTGTTATGTAAATATTATTGTTTGTTTTTATTTATTAACTTACCTTCAATTTTTAATAAGATGAAATCAAATTAATTCTTTTATGAAATTTTACGTACAGATTTTCAATGTCCATAGAAGAGTCTTTTAATATGATGTTTCTGATACAAATGGTACCTTGCTTTTTTGGTCTATGTGTACTGCCTTATAAACTCATTCAGGCAAGTTTATACACAATTTATGTTTCACATTTTATTTAACCTAATTTTGAGGTCTTTGATATTTTATTTCAGATAATTAGTGCCGACTATATATCTATTGTGGAATTAATTTTTGTTGTATATTTTTTCTTACTGTTTTTATTTACTAATTTTTTATATTGCTACATTGCGGAATTACTACATGGAAAGGTATATTTTTTTAACTAAATATTTTGTATGAAAAAATTTAATTAGTAGGTTTTGCCTAATTTAATAAAAATCGGAACTATATTCATTAAGTCTAACATTTATTCATTTATGACTTAATTTTAATTACATTAAAAATAGTTTTTTGTACTTGTGATTTATAAACTAATAATATCTCTGTACAATTTTTTAGAGCATTGAAGTGAGTTATGCAGTTTATAATTGTAATTGGACTATATTACCGCCTAAGGAAGCAAGACTTTTCATTTTCATTCTATTGCGAACACAAATTCCTTTTGAAATTACCATAGGAAAATTTACTACATTTTCTCTACAATTCTATTGTCACGTACGTATATAAAATAATAATTATTAATAATTTTAAAAATATGCAGATAAAATAGTTTTGAAGTTTGCTATTATTCAAGGAATATATATAGATGAACATTTATTAGTCGCAGAAATGACATAAATGAATAAAATATTTTATTTCATAGATTTTAAAGACATCCGCTGGTTACTTGTCAATGTTGCTTGCTGTGAGGAATAGAATGAATTATTGAAATATTATAAAAATCATAAATTCTAAACATACTTCTAAACATCATTATATACTTATCTTCAGTCTAGATAAATCTACGGCGGATCAAGATTTGATATTAAGGGACAGCATATTAATATTTATAAAAGAAATAAATTTTCAATATTTATTAGCGCCAAATTAGATATTTAATCAAATCTTAAAATGGTAACGAAATACAATACTTACCAAATTATAATTTATATTTGTTAAATTTTAAGAATAAAGAAATTATTACAGAAATGATGGAATATTTTTAGATATAGATCACTCAATTAACAGTTATCAAAAATAAAATAATATAAAAATTCTTTATAAAAGTATTTTAAATAATATTTATAATAGTTATACATTAAAAAAAAATATAACAAATCATAAAAGAATGATAAATTAAAAAAAAAATTTGTTATTTCGACCGTACTTATGGCCTCATATTTTGTTTTAAATATCTATTTTGCCAATGCTATTTTTAAAAATATAAGCAAATAAAATTTAAAACCATTTAATTTATGAAACCATAAACTATAATATTTGTGTGCATATGTATATGTATATATGTATTGCAAGTGTTTAAATCAGATTACAGAATTATTTTATTTCGGAAATCGTATATGATAAACAGGAGAATAAATACCATTTTAAAATAGCGATAAAATTTATTAATTGATATTTTTAAATTATCTAAATAAAATATTATTTTTAATATTATAACTATTTATATCAATTATAATTAATAGAATATTACATAGGCTTTATATTAATTGAAAAATAGATGAAACACTAAGGTTTTATATTAAGTTTTATGTTAAGTTTCTCTTCTAAAATTATAAAATTATTAACATATAAACAAATTTTCAGTTTTAAATAAAATAATACACTAAATTTATTTTATATATCATGACTTTTGAAAAATAATAACTTTTAGTTATTTTTAATATCGATTGTAATTGCAAATTGCATTAAGTTTCGGTTTCTTAAACATTTTTAATACATTCATCCATAGTTTTTTCTGCTTTAATATCGATTATATATAGATTAGAATTAAAGAATTTCATTGTCTGTATTTAAAATTTCCAAGAAAAATTATTTTTACTTATAAATTATTAATTTCGAATTAGCAGAAGTAATAAAATTATTCTGTAAAAGATTTTTTTCTCTGCTTCATTGAGTAGTTTAATAAAGCTTATCTTTCTGAAAGTATTCATTCTTTACTAATAAATTATGTTTACTTCTTATTTATACTTTGTTTATTATTTATTTAAAAATCAATAAAATAGTTATGTTATTTCGTATATGTAAAATGATTTATTTTATATATTTTTGTTACGTGTAAACGATGAATATGAATATATATTAGTAACTCTTATTATTAATTAATTAATGTAACGTAGAAATTCGATCACAATAGAGAAATTAGTAGAGATTACATACAGAAGTAATATCTTTAAAAACTTTATTTAAAATTAATAAGAATAATTATGGTTTAATTATATAAAATAAAATTAGTATAACATATTAATTATCATGAATAAATATATCTATCCATATATTTTTTAATAAATATTCTATTATCCTCAATAACAGAAGAGATTCCTATGACCTCTAGTTATTGAAATTATAAAAAATGGTATATACACTGTGTTTTTGAATGCTTTCTTATATTTCATTTTTATCCATTGTTTTGCGTTTAATAATTGTCACTAAAATTAAATATCGGTTAAAAGACACATAATAAGCTGTAAACTCATCGAAGAGCTGAGCTATGCCTTATGATATAATCATGTACTTTTTATTAATGGAACATAAGTATCCAGAATGGAGGGGGGTTTTATGCTCGGAAATCGTCAGTTTGTTTCGAGACATCAACGACGTATTTCCGATGTACGATAAAATAGGTACGTAGTTAATCATATAATTAAAAGCAATTTCTTAAAAAGCTTCATTATTTACTCATTGTAAGAAATGATATAAAAACCGACACAACTAAATATACAAATTTTGAAATGTATAACTATTAGAATGGAGTTAATATCAAATTAATTTATTGAAAATTAATCAAATGAAGCTGTAATTACATTAATAATACTTTTATAATAATGATAACAATTTTATAAATACAAATTTTTAATTCTTATATATTGGAAATTAATTTTTTTTTATTAAAAAGATAATATAGGGTTTTTAAGTCTAAAAATAATTTAATATTATATATTGAAATTAATAAAATTCTATTAAAAAAAGTTTAAAAATATATTTTTAAATATTTTTTAATTGTCAAATGTATTTCTCAAAGATTGTTTATTATTAATGGTAATGCTGAAATCGAATACAGGTTTCGATGTTGCAGTCGGTCCATGTAGAGCGTTTTTAAGCTTTCTCGGTGCATGGCCTGATCCTGCAGCACCAGAAAATCTATTCTCTCTATGCCGTGTTATTACGGCATCTTTGACAATGTTTTTATTTGCAATTGTTGCTCAAACCACCATGGTTTTAAAAGTTTGGGGTGATTTGAACGCCGTCATCGAAATTTTAACAACAGCTGATATGCCCATTTGTGTTGCTTTAATGAAGTTTCTAGTTGCTTGGTACTACAGAGAAGGTAAGAAAAATATATTTTTTTCAGATATATGAGATAAACTATTTCTTTTTTAAGAAAAGTAAATAAATGGATCATTTTTTACATATGTATACTCATATAATTAGTAATTATTTTAATTAATTTTAAATTTATATTGTGAACTGTTGAATATTGTTATAACTGATATGCTGTATACTATCGTAAACTTAAATATATGTTATCACATGTATTTACACATAATCTTCATTACTATTACGAATTCTCATTATTATTTTATTTACATTAATTTACATTAATAATTAGTTTATTTTCATTAGTAAAATTTTTCATTTAGTTATAACAATTATAAATAGTTATAAATTATAACTATTTATACTCTTTATAAAATTTTTACTAGTAAAATGTCAATTATTCTTGTAATAGTGTATAAAATTGTACCATTCTTATAAATATTTATGTAAAAATATTGTTTTTTTTTTATTTTTTTTAGTATTTTTTTTTTTAGCATAATATAGTATATTCATTAATTATCTAGAATTGTACCGTCAGTAAAATAATATTTTAATTAAAGCTATAAGTAACTTTTTGTTATAAATTATTTGTACTAAATTTTTACTAAACTAGAATAGAATTAAAATTGTATTATCATTTAATAAAAATCTATTGATGAATATAATTAAGACTGTTACAATTATACATTAAATAATATAATACAGTAAAGAAATGGTACAGTGTTCATTTTTCCAATACGAAGAATTTAATTATTTATATCCACCAAATACAAGTGACTGCAATTTTTCAGCAAATACCGTTCATTGCTTTTTTGTACATGTTTTATACATCGCACTACAACATTTATTGTTTTCAATTATTTTATGTTTTATATGCACAATATGGTCTTTTATAAGTATTGAGAATTATTAAATTATATAATTAGAAGGTTTAACATTTTATTTTATTTTTAAGAGTATTTGATAAAGGACATAGCAAATTATATATATAAAATAATATTAATTTAATATAATAATGTTGCATAAGTTATTTAAAACTAATTTTTAGATAAGTAACATATGAAATTAAGATAATTAGGAAAGCAAATGAAAGATTTGACAAAGAAAAAAAATGTTCAAATTTCAAGAGAGAAAATAAAAATAAAAGTATGCAATGTTTAAAATTATATTAATGGTTCTCTATTAGTATTTAATAAAGTGTTAATATAAAAAACATCAAAACGTCATGTATCATTAAAAGAAAATTAAAAATTGAAATGTTACATTCAGAAAGAGAAAAGATGCAGAGAAATAATTATAGTAATAATACACATGGAATTTGGAAAATAAAATTTATAAACAAAAAACAGAATAATTTATATATAAATAGACAAGGGTAGTCAAAGTTCATTTAGAAGAGATATATCTATAAATTAATCCGTTATTATAAACTATATATCTATCTCTATATAGAAGAAAATAAAAAAGAGAATAATGAAAAAAGTAAAGCGATTGGGTTAATAAAAGTATTAAAAAATGGGGAAAAATGGAAAAATTGGATACGCCTTAATGAGGAGAATTTAGACAATATTATTGTAATAGATAGTAGTACAAATAATTTTGCACCTAAGTAAATGAAGAAAGATAAAAAAATTAAAGGTGCTGTTAAATATCATATAGAATGGTAAATAAAAACAAAGTAAAAAGAATATTAAATAAATTAAAACTCAAAAGTTGAAGTAATAGAATATATATAAATAAAAGTAAAAGAAAAAAGTATATGAATAAAAAATATAAGTATTATAAATGAAAATCCTGATAGATTATTACAAATGCAAGAAAGAAGGATATTAGAAATACCATATACATATAAGCAGAAAAAATTCAAGAAAATAATAATTTAAATAATGAAGTGATGAATAAACAGATAAAAATGTTAAACAGCTAATTCGAATAATAAATGAGTAATATAAAATGAAATTATAAAATACGAATAAAATATGCGCGGATAAATTATATGGTAATGGATAAAAATAATATGTATACAATATTGTCAATATAGTTAATATTAATATATATATATATATATATGTGTGTGTGTGTGTGTGTGTGTGTGTGTGTGTGTGTGTGTGTGTGTGTTCTATTTCATGATGTTTAATATATATTGCAATACTTGTGAGAAGAATTTAAAAATAAAAATATATCCAATTAAATGTACAAATAATATAGTATTATTATAATACCGTAAGAAGTGATTTTTATTTAAGAAGATATTTATTAAAAAAGTAAGCATAGATATAATAAAAGACGAAAAATAAGTATTTGAAAAAAGGTGAAATAGAAAATATTGAATGAGAAAGAAAATACAAAATCATTAATAAAGTTAAGAAATGAAAAAATATCGAATATACAGTGTAAAACTATATGGTTAATACAACATACACAATACATGAATAAAGTTATAATTGTAATGCAAAATATACATTCAGAATATACAAGAGATAATTATTTAGAGAAATTCATAAAAGAATAGGAATTTATATTATATTAGTGAAAAACGTTAATATGTTATATTAGAAATAAAATAAGATATTAAAAATTTAAGGTAGAGAATAGATAAAAAAAAATAGATATATAGAATGTAGAAGTTACAGCAGAAAAGATACAGAGTAAGTGAATTAGTTAAAAAAAAATTATATGCATATATGTGAAAAATTCATATTAAAAAACAAAATAAAGATTTCAATATTATCAATACTCAAGATTTAGAATATAATATATGTACATAAAATGTTTATAAATAAGTATAAAATGTAAAATAACATATTAAAGGAAAAATAAAAAATTGACAAATTTAATTTATAGCTAAATATTAATATAGAGGTAAAATACGTATAACATATAAAAAGGTAAAACTTTATACTTATTAAAACTAATACAGAGACTGAGAAGAGAAAGTAAAGAAACTAAGCCATAAGATTGTAGAATAAAATAAAAAAGACAAAATTAATATGAGGAGAGGAGGGACAAAGTATTGAATAAAAAGGAGCCAATTTAAATAGAAAAGAATAAAACTAAAATTAAGTATTGAATAATGAAAATGTAATGTAAATATATGATATATCTTTATAGTCGAAAATACTTTTAACGTGAAAGGGCTTACAATATTTATTAATAAATAATAAAAATAGACTACATTGAAATCATACGTTATAAATTAATAGGTTTTTAAATTTATAATATTTAAAAATATTTATTTATTATTATTCAATTTTTTTAATATATAATGGATATATATATATATATATATATATAAACCTACATAAGAAGTAAAAATTTTTAATATTTTATAAACATAAAAATTTATACAAAGTATGCTTACAACATGAAATATTTAAATAAAAAATATATTATATATTCTTTATTATATCTTAAATTAATAGAATACAAATTAAACGTTTATTTTTAATTGATACACGTTTATTTTAATTGATTTTTTTAATATAAAAAGTTATAATAAAATTTATAATGTTTCATCATAAGAAAAATTTTGGCCGAGTAACTAATGAGCGAAACATTACTAACAGAAATTTACGTACAGAAATATATTTTTCTTATTATTTTATAATTTTATTAATTAAATTTTTTGTCATTACAAAAAAAAATAAGTCTTAAAGGACTTAGTTAAGACAATGTCAGATGATTGGCAAAGTCAATATACTAACCAAGATTTTGAAGAAATGTGGCAACGCGCTCAATTTAGCCGAAAATTATCGATAGTTTGCATAGGTTTGGCTCAAGGCACTATAACTGTTCAATTCCTGATGGTGGTAGTATTTGATATTAATAATAAAGGTCAGATCGAGAGACCTCTATATATGACCTCATATTTTCCTTATGATACGCAAAACAGTCCAAATTATGAAATAACTTGGATAGCTCAGTGTTTTTCGAACATATTTGCTGCTGGTGCATTTTCAGCAGTAGATGCATTTTTTGTAGTTTTGGTTTTACATTTATGTGGCCAATTAGCGATACTGAAAAGATCCTTGATAGAATTAACAGATGACTTGCAACACAAATCGATCAAGTTAGAATTCACAAGAAAGCTTGCAAACATCGTCGAGAGACACGAATTTTTGAACAGGTTTCTATTCTAAAATATAAAAATATATCAAAATGAAATATAGTTATACATTTGTATTTTTTTAAATAAAATGTTTATAAAGAGCAAAATTATTGTTATAAAGGTTTGCAAAAACTATTGAAGATTCTTTCAACATGATGTTCTTAGCACAAATGATTACATCATCATTTGCTTTATGTTTACAAGGATATCAGTTGGTTATGGTGGGTTAATTTTATAGCTTGTAATATTAATTTTTCTATTTATTTTTTTTTTAATAACGTTCAGAATTCTCTTATTATTAATATTCCATTATTTAATATAAATAGTTATTAAATGACAATTTCAGTTGTAATATTTTAATAACATTAATTACTTTTAAAAGATTAAAATTATTATTACTTTTGTTCATGATTATTCATACCTTTTTTCCATATTATATAATCATTTAATAAATGAAAAGATACCTTTGTAAGTATTATTTTACATATGATAAAATATTAATAAACCAAACATTATTTCTTATATAATAAAATAAAATAGTGGAAAATTGTACACTAACTAATTATCAAGAATAATTACAAAATATTCTATACATAATTAAAAAAAAAAATTATATATTTATACAATATTTTACAGATAATAACTAGTAACGAAGATAAACTACCGCTCTTGCAGTTAATACATATGATTTATTTTGTTTGCTGCTTTTCATTCAGTTTATTTTCATATTGCTATGTTGCAGAACAGCTTAATTACGAAGTAAGTACATTAACAGTAATGTATGTGAGAATATCTATACTGCTTATAAAATTTTGTTTTATGCGCAGTTATTTTTACTCAAAGTGAAAAAAAATTTATTTAAGTAATTAAATAATTTAACTTCAAATTTAATTATTCAATAAATTATAATGTTTTCAATTATATATTAATAAAATTAATGTAAACATTTAATAGTATATTGTAATGTTTATTTTATTAGTACTTTATACGATATACCTCACTTTAATAAATTAAATATATTATTAATAATATTAATATTAATATATAATATTATTTGTTATAACATTATGATATTATTGTTATATATAAATATATACAATTATATACAAACAAATATATACAAACATACACATAAATAACAATAGTTATAACAATAATATAATAATATAATAATAAAGAATGTTTTGTGAGCAATCATTTGCTTTACTTAAAATCGTAGCATTTTTATTTTAAAAACTTTTAACACCTATATAATGTATAACTAAGTGTGGCTTATTAGTAAATATTACTTACAATAGTTATGCGCTCACTGGACATAAACAGTCGATGTTTCGTACATAATTAAATAAGCGGCTCTGTAGGGTGTCTAATGATAGCAAATTGTATTTTACCCAATAAAGCGCTATATACACTATATTTTTTTGTTTATATCTTTCCCCGATAAATTGTTTTTAATTTGAGAACTTAATACTTTATATCTTGTATAAATTATTCAATAAAATCAATTAGTATATTTTCCAATAGAATTTATCGAAAGAATACAATAATATTGTAGAAATATTTTCATAGATATAATGTATTTTAAACTGTTATACAGAGTACAGAAATTCATTATGCAGCTTATAAAAGTGATTGGTACAATTTATGTCCTAAGGAAACAAAATTATTGCTTTTACTTATGCATCGAGCTCGGAAACCTCTTGAAATTACTGCTGGAAAATTTTGCGTATTTTCACTAGAATTGTATTGTAGCGTAAGTATAATTTTCAATAGTAAATTCATAAAATAACACGTTATTTTATATACTTTGAAAATGATCTTTTTAGAAATTATCAATAAATAAATAGTACTATTTATTCTATTAAAATATTTAAAAAATTTTACCTAAATTTTATCCTTTGACGTTTGATATATAAGCTAGTCATTTTTTATGCATATTGATGAAATTTATTTTTTATCGTATAGAAATATATTTCTTTTAATTTCGTATCTATTGATTTCCAATTTTTTAGTAATTTATTTATTTTATATCTTTATATAAGTTACGTCTATGTTGAATTTTAGATAAATTGTAAATTTATTTAAGATCCTTTTTCCGTTATTGAAGATCTATAATTATAGAAATTCATCACAAATAATGTTAAACAAAAAACAAAGTTTCAACCTCTTTTAAAACAATATTTTATTTTTTATGTATCTATAATTTTAATTTGATAAATATTAGCAATAAATGAAGTCTCCAACAGCTTTGATTAAATTAAAATACAATAATTGTTTTTCTTTCGGATACATTATTATACAAGAAGTTTGATTAATTAATGATATTCGTCAAAACATATTATACTCAGAATACTCGGAAAAAGCATGTATTTTTTACATTTTATATATATCATATTTAATATATATCTTATATACAGATACATATAATAGAATATAATCAAGCCAATATTAAAGATTAAAATCCTCGATATTTATCGCAATTACACAAAATCCGTAACTTTATTTAACTTAACTGGCTGTCGATAACAACTATTTTAAAGCTAGTGAATTTAACATTATATTTGTAATTATATTAATATAATTCAAATAATGCTTAATATTTTGCACATTTATTCTTTTAATTAAATTTAAATTTTGTTATTACAGTACAAAAATTTTGTTACCTTAAAAATACTCTAGGTAATTCTTCATTTTTTCTTGCTTCCAAACATAGTAGTTTATATTTTATGTATCTATTTATTAAATAAATATATTTGTTAAATCAAATTACAGATTCTGAAAACATCTGGAGGATACTTGTCAATGCTTTTAGCTGTAAGAAACAGACTGGTTCCGGCTGTATAATCTATAGTACTATAATAATTATCTAAAATATTCACAATTATCAAAATTAAACTTTTTTCAATAAACAATTGTTGAAATTCACAATTTTTTTAAATTAAAATTTTTTAAAATAAAACTAAACTTAAATTAAAGTTTAATGCAAATAACATATTATGTTTCTTAAATATAATAATAAAAAGAATCCGAAATTTGTTTTAAATATTCAAAAAATTTTATCAATATTTCATTTTGTTATATTAAACTTGCTACTTACGTCTTCGTATACTGTTATACATTATGTGTTAACATTATATGCATTTTTATAATACAGCTGCGGCTTTAACTAATAATAATTTCGTGCCCTTGGTAATAAAAATAATTTTTTGTAATATAATGCGAAATTTTACTTCACGAAAGATAAAAAAAGTGGGCTATGCTCCTAAACTATTATTTTTATAACAAGAGCGTTATATTCATCAAATTGTTAATTAAAATTATTATGTAAATATTAAATTTACTCAAATTTAGAATTTGAATGTATTAAAATTTGCATTCAGATATATAATATAGATTCTCATGGATATGGAAAAAAATTTAATATAGACATTTTTACTACACTATATGTGTAACTTTATAATCTGATAAAAAGGAAATATTTTATGGAAATTGTATTTTAATATATTTAATTTTTAACATATTTATTAAACAGATTTATATTATTTCCTTAAATAAAATATTTAAGTTTTATATATTTATATTAATTAGGAATAAGAGATTATATTTTTTGACATAACACTTAATTAGAAATTATATCATATTTAACCTAATATTATTTATATTCTTTATTAAACAATGTATAATTTTATATGATATTATTATGTAAGAGATAGAGTGTACTTACTCATATTTATTGTTAATATTCCCAAGCACAATATTTTATTGCAATAAATTTAAATACAACGAATTTAAATTAAATTTAAAATTGATCAAATTCTATTATTCTTACATTATCTAGCTTTATGTTCATTTTTGTTCGTTTTGCTTTAAAAAATTATTACTAATGTAAAGAATTAATATTGTACAACTACAATATCTATTTAATTTGTAGAATTCTGACATTTCCTTTTTTTATTTTATAAAAATATTTAATAGACAAAGAAAATATTAATCATGTATATATTATAATTTTTTAATATATGAAGTAATATAGTGATATTATTAGATATTTGAAAGATATTAATAGATATCTATAGATATCTAGTTTGGCTAAACTGCATCTTCTTTTTTATTCTGTTGTTTATGTTTTACTGGATCTGAACTTAAGAATATTATATTTTCATATGGTCACAAATAAAATATACATGTTTTAAATTCCCTATACTTTATTATCAAATCAAGTTTTATCTTATAGCGAATAATTATAAACGATTAGTAAATAGGTATCATTTATGGATAAAGAACTGTAGTCAATAAAAAACTACGTAGTGTAATGATAGGGATATTTTATAGTCTGAAAATTGTGAAGTAGTAGCTTCTATCATTATTTTTCAATGAAGAATAAAAAAGGTATGTACTTTATAGTATTTAAAATTTATTTTGTATGAGTTTATATTAAAAAAATTATTATCTATTTTAAAAATAAAAATTTTGTTATTATTAACTTTCATTTTTTATAATGAAAATGGTTATTAATATAATATGTATATTATTTATAGTTGAACAAAATAAAAAAATTTATAAAGTTATATATTAAAACAGGTATTGATATTGCAATTGGAGTAAGTCGCAAATTCTTAAAATTTATTGGAATATGGCCTGAATTAAAAGAGAAAAAAAATTGGTTATCACGATCTTACTTTCTCATACCAACTTTTATAATGATCTATTTTTGTAACATACCACAAACAATTATGATAACGAAATTATGGGGCGATTTGAATGCAGTTATTAAAATTTTAACAGTTTGCAATATTTCAGGAAGTATTGCAGTATGCAAACTTATCAGCTTCTGGTATCAAAGAAATGGTATTCATTTTTAGACTTAAATAATTAAATCAATACCTTTATTCATATTATTCTAATAATCAAATAAAATTTTATTTAATGTAATACTTACTTTCTAATTAAAACTTTAACATAATAGTTAACTTTAAGAAGTATAGCCTTTTTGTGTATGGAATTATTCAAATATATTAGACATTCTATTAAGTAAATGATTAAATTTATATTTTTAGTTAAAAATCTTTACAAAAATAAGTTATTTAATTATGGGCGGGAAAAATATGGAATACGTTACTTTTTTCATAAATTTTATTTAAAAATCAAGAAAATTAATGTACTTCAGTAATTATTGAATTGATTTAGGTAATAAATATCATATTATTTTAAGTGAAAACATTTTTTTTCAATTGTTAATATTAAATTTAATAAGTAATAAATATGTATTACATATTGTATTTTTCACTATTGTATGTGTGATACGTAAAAAGAATGAATATGTTGAATTTGCTTATTTATGTAACATGAATTACATATTAATATCTCATTTAATCAAATGTTTGTAAAAAAAATAGCTAAACTGAATAACAAATTTGAATGAAAGTATAGCTTAATAAATCAATAAAATGAACAGAAAATTAATAAAAAATTTGATTTGTTTGAATTGCATTTTATTAAAAAATAATTGTTATAGTGTTCTTGTGTATTTTCACAAATGTGTTTTTATTTAATGAGCTATATACTATATGTTTTATATATTTCTATTGATGATATATTTACATACACCATGTAAGAACAATATATAAAATATTTAATAATATTAAATACTAATAAAATTAATTCAAATATAATAGATATATATTATTTACTTAAATGGAGATTTTTTAATAATTAGCTTATATGTCAGTATAATATAACATTAAATAATTTACACAAGCTCAATTCACTCATGCCTCTCTCTCTCTCTCTCTCTCTCTCTCTCTCTCACTCTCTCTGCCTCTGTAAATATCTATTTTATTTTCTTATATAAATCCGATTTTTGTATTGTGAAACACATCTTTTAAGGTATAAAAAAGCAAAATAGAAGTAGGTAATAGTAAAAAAATGTTGTGTTGAAAAAATTGAAAAAAAAAACAAAAAAAAGGTATAGGAAATAAGGAAGACTATATAAATAAATTGGTAGAAAAAATAACACAAATTAGAGAAAACATAATTTGAATAAAAAAGCAGATTGATATTCTTCGAAAAATTAAAGAATAATATGAAAAATTTCATTCAAACGAATTAAAGGTAAATAATGAAATAAATACATAAAATATGAATAGAGTGAAATAGGAATAAATACGAAAAATATATAAAGATTTTAAGTAAAAGTTTAGAAAATATCAACCTAATAATAATGGTAAGTATTAAAATTTTAATATAAATGATGAATATGACTGACTGTAAGATGAAGATTCAAAATTATAACGGTGAGAAGTAAACAACAATAGATTGTACATAAGTGGAAACCGTAAATAAATGAGAAAAACGGAATTTCAATTGAAAAGTGAATAAAAAATAAGAAATTTTTGATAAAATAGCGTCATAAATATATTGTAATGGAGAAAATTCTTTAAAAGATAATTTATATATACAAATAACGGAAAATATATATTTTTGTACTCACTTTCGTGATTTCGTGCTTGTATCGTCTTATGCTATGCATTTCCTTTTGCAGTTTTTTATTTAATTGTGCATGTGATATATATTATTTATATATTCTTCTATTAATATATGAAAGTCTTTTTCATTTGAAATTTCTAAAATATTTGGAATTTCTGGATGATTATCCAATAATTTAGTATGTATATATTTACATCAACGGCCAGACACTTACTTTTTCATCACTTGATTTTTATGCTTCCTATGTTTCATTCATCTCGTCATTATAAATAAATCTTCATATATATTATTTAATTAATTTGTTAAATATTTTATTTTTTTTAAGAAACAGATTGTAATATTTATATCTTGACCTGTGATTATATATTTCTCTTTATATTCTAGACTCTGCTCAATGCTTCTTTTATACATTTTATAAAAATGAATATATATGTTGACGATAAGAATGGAACTATAATTATTTCTAATTAATTATATTTTCCGAGTATTCTCATTTTTAAACTTACGCATTTACGAGTGTACGTCGAAACAGTAAGACTCGTCCATCTATATTCAATCTATTCTATAATAAAATATTCAATAATTCATTCAATTTTGTTCATTTAATTTTGTCTGATACAATTCTTTAAACATTTTATGCCCTTATTTACTCTTCCATTTTCTTGTCTGAAATCAATTTTGATCATGATCGTTAGATAGTAAACATATACCATAATACTTATGATTTATCGAGCGAGCACTTAAAGTAATTTATTATTCATATTTTGTGCCAAATATTAAGAAATAAAAAATTGAAAATATATTTTCATATAATTTTTTTTTTATATAATTTAATTAAATAAATCTTTTAACTTAAGCAATATTTTCTCTGCAACGTAATGTTTCTTTTAAGACGGCCTGTCTGTATAACTTATTCGACGATAGATAAGCATGCTAATGAGTCTTCATTTGTCAGTTTATACCCTCATTAGTCTGTCAATATATGATTATTCAATTATTCTTTATGATGTCTTTATGATGACATAAAAAAAGAAAAGAGAAAGCAATAAAAAATATATCTATTGGTATGTTTTGGATGATAGAAATTGGGCATATTAAATGATAATTCAATTCAAATGATACAAATCATTAGTATAATCCAATTCGGTATTTGTAAAATAATTATTTACAGAATAATTAATCTGAATCTTCTTTAATATCGACACCAAATCGATATAATAAATAATGTCATACATAATAATGCTTAAAAAATTGTATATACTAATTACTGTATAATTCTAATCCATAGGTATAATATTATTAAGTAAGACAACTTATTCTCACTAATATTCTTACTAATAATAAAAAATCTTCAATCGTATCACAAAGTAAGACTGATAATCCATTCGTTGATAAGTTTAATCATTGGTTCTTTTATTATATATTTTATATATAAGCATATCATATATTAAAATTATCAAAATTATCAATTGTATTATTTAATGTATGTATTAATATGTATACAAGATACTGTGATAAACAATTAACTATAGAACATATATCTTAAGATATATCTTAAGAGATATAAATGTTTTCACTTAAAAATGATTTATTTAAAGTTTTATAATGGACAGATTATGTATTTGTCATATATTTTCATATATTTTTTGTAAATGTTGACAAAACATATTATTAGTTAATGTTATTTAAGTATTAAAATAATATTAATTTATTGAAAGTAATCAGTCAGCTTATCATGTTTATGATCGATGATTGGGATAGTCAAAAATCGAAGGAAAATTTAACTATTATGTGGACGAATGCCAAATTAAGTCGAATCATTTCGATAACAATAATTGCACTTGCCGAAGGAACTATTTTGATATATGTGTTGACGATTATTATTAATCAATCAAATGACGTTAAAGAAAACGATTACAATCTTTTATTGGATAACAACATATCTAAGACTTTTAGACCACTTCTCGTAAATGGTTACTTTTCATATGATGTTCAAAGTAGTCCATATTATGAAATAATCTTTATATGTCAATTTTTCTCAATCTTATTTGCGGCTACGGCTTATTCATCCGTTGATGCATTTTTTGCTGTACTCATATTCCACTTATGTGGTCAATTGACGAATTTGAAAAATCATCTTATAAGGCTTCCAAAAGAAACATCTACTGATAGAAATGATACATTCTTAAAAACATTATCAATAATTGTCCTGAAGCATGAATATCTTGAAAGGTTAGTTAAGCTATATTCAAAATTTATTCTTTTTTTAGATTTGCGTTAGTGGGCGTAATAAGAAATTAGACAGTTTTTTAAGTACTGATAGATTCATAATAATTTACAATAATGACAATACAATTATTTAATATTGAAATTGATTATATGAATTTGAATATAAGAAAATGTTATAAAAAATTAAATATTATAGATAATAAATATAAATTGTACTTAGATTTTTGTCAGGTTCTGTGTTATTGATTTACTGAGATTATTACGTTACATAATACGTTTTCTATTGAATTCTTTATTTCTATAGATAAAAATTTAAATGAATAATTTATCATTAACTAATATAAAAAAAATCTAATTTCATATTACTTATAATATATAAAGTAATTTCATAAAACATTATATAATAAAATTAAACAAAATTATCAACGATTAAAAATTTAACTTTAACATGCTCAAATTAATGTACGACTACTTGAGAAATGGAAAATATTATAAGGAAATTCTTACCTTTATATTCCTAAATATATATTTATTTAATAGTTTAAAAATATATATAATTTATTAAAAGATTTAAATATTATTATGTGAATATAAGTAAACTTAATATTATTATAAATTTGGATTTGTCAATACTTTTTTAAAATAATATAAAATATAAAATTTATTAAGTGACCAATCTTATTAAATATATTAATATTTAAATAAATTGATTTATATTAATTGAGAATTTTATGAAAATTAATACATATTACAAGCGCATATAAATAATATATATATATATATATTATTAACATGGATCTTTATTCAAATGTGCAATGAATGTTTATTATTTGAAATATAATTAATTTTCAATATTAAACTTTCTTTTAAATGTAGATTTGCAAATACAATAGAAGATTCCTTCAATCTAATGTTTCTCTTACAAATGATAATGTCTTCCTTCGTACTTTGTCTTCAGGGTTATCAACTTATTATGGTACGTTTTCAGTATGTAAGATTGTATAAAGAGAAAAACTAATAATATTAATTGAATTAATACATGATAATTAATCATTTATAGTTTCTTAAATTGTAGTATTTATATTTTAAATTTTCATACAAAAAACAGTTTAAATATTAAATATTTACGTTTACATAATTTTTAAATATATACAGTTACTGTAAACAATCTTTTCCATTGACCATTTTGAAACTATTAATGATTTTGCATTGATTATTAATTATAAATTTGAATATGATATGCAATAAAATTTTGATAGATAAATATTAAAAATTATAATTTATGAAATAATTTCCTTATATTGTTTCATTATTAAAATACCAATAAAATATAATATGAATAAAAAATGAATAAAATATGTAAAATATGAATAATAAACATTATATAATTATTTGATTTTTTTCAATATTATTTTTCAATTTAGATAACAACTGATAGTACAATTTCAATAATCGATTTGATATTTATGATATATTTTACACTCTGCGTTAGCTTCAGTCTTTTTCTGTACTGTTATCTTGCAGAAATTTTAAAAAATAAGGTAAATAAGTTTTGTATTAGAAAATTATTAGAAACTTTTAAAATTTAAAGAAATGTAAAAGAAATAACTAAAGAATTAAAGTAATTATTTAACCTAATAATTTCACACACAATTTTACTTTATTAACAATATACATTATTTAAATAATTTATATTTATTATAAAATATTCAAGCATTTTTATTCTATGTTGTTCTTAACGAAAATTTTAATGGGCTACATAATTAATTGAAAATTCTTATATTGAACTATTTTTTTTATCTTCCAATTTGACAGTCTTTAGAAATAGGAGATGCAGTGTATGAAAGTGATTGGTATCATTTACCATATTTTAAATCAAAAGATTTACTTCTACTAATGGTACGGGCAAAACAACCATTTAAAATTACAGCGGGAAAATTTGTAGTTTTCTCTTTGGAACATTATTGCGCAGTGTGTATATCAGTATTACATATATTTTTAACTAAATCCAAATTTTCATTAGTACTACAATCATTCTAGAAAATCATATGTATGAATTATCTGAAAATACTTTATTCTGAATTCATCATTTTTGTATTGTTCATTATATAATTTCGATGTATTATATTATACAGATTTGCAAATCCGCTGGAGCCTTTTTATCTATGTTGCTTGCGATGAAAAGCAGATTAGTTAATGAAGATTGACAATAAATATAGTATATATAATGTGAAGTATTACAAAATATTTTATATTATTTAAATGTTTTTCTTTGTCTTTAGATAAACCACTTGTTCATATATCAATTTTAAATGATTAAAGGGCACTTGTAATGCTTAAAAATAATTTGCAATGTAATGTAATTTTTTGAAACCAATAATCTAACATTAATAATAACAGTATTTATAAACAGTTTTATTTACAGTAATATAATGTGCATCTTATATTTCACTTAATTCCATATTATACTTAGCTCCTATAATTTAATTTCTAATTTTACAGAATATGGTGTTTCAGTTTACAATAAAAACTATGAGACGTCTCTGTTGTTTCAGAAAAAATAAGGTGTATAAGAAAATAAATAATGAAAAGATAAAAAAATTTGTATGAAAATATTAACAATAATAATAAAAAATAAATTATTTTAAAAAGTTAAACGTCATCTTTTTTTACGTTTGATATTTTTGTTGTGACTTAATGTCATCATTTTATTGTGTTTATTCAAATGGTGCCTATCTTTTATTTTTGCTAGCTATATGCTTTTTCAATTTAAAATATAAAATTATAATAATATAATATTAAAATATAATATAATAATATAATAATGTAATATAAAAAAAAATATTAATTTAAAAATTGCAAAGTAAAAATAAAGAATAATTTAGAAACGAGGAACTATGATACAACGACAACTAAAATTAATAATTGACATAATCATTTTTAAGAGCATGTTTGTACATATTATTAAATAGAGATTGCAAATTATATTACTTACTATATATGTATAATAAATAAATAAAATAAATATAAGTTTTTATACATATGTGTGTGTGTGTATGTATGTAAAATATTTTATATAATACATATTATAGATATTATATTAATCTGAATAATGTTATATTATTTATTGGAAGAAGGTCTAATAAAATGCTTTGATTTTTTATAATTTTCTAAACAACATGCAAATAACTTATTAATTTATATAAGGTATACATATTTTTTGTAAGTACGAAATCATTATTTCTACATTTTTAAATAATGGAATTATTAAATATTTCTTTAAATACATAATTAATTTATTATATTCTGTATTGTAAATGATCATTACTTTAAAAATATTATAGTAATTTCATAAATGTACATAAATAAATTTGTTTATTAGATTTTTTTATATCAAGTATTTATGAAAATTTTTTGTTTAAAAAGAATTTATAACCTTTACATAAAAACATTAATTTTTTTAATATGTAGATCAAACTAAATTATAAATATATTATTTTTAATTAAAAATATATAATTCAAAAATATTTGTTTATAATTTTTGAGTATTAATAAATGCTTCACTAGAAGGTCATACAATTTAATGAATAATACAAATTTATCGATCAATCTATAAAAAAAATTTACAAGTCAAAACATGTGATCTCGATTTTTAAAAATAGTATTAAAATATTATCAAATACACATATATAATATAAATATAAAAAATTGAGAAGACCGAAATTATTTCACCATATACTGAAGCAGATATAAGTGGCGCTTTCTAATATACGATGAATGATTATAAAGTACTTGTTATGTAATATAGGTAATGTATCTAATTAAGATGTATAAAATGTATCAATAAAAGAAATGAAATAATTCATATGAAGAATAGAAAACAAAAAGTAATTTCTCAAAATTGTGGCATCGATGATTCCTAAATATTTATGAATTTATTTTTATAGAGTACTTACTATACAGTAATAATAATGAAAGGATTATATTATTACAATTACCGATTATTTTCTTGCTCTCAATTATCATACTAAGAATAATCTAAAATATGGTAACATAACTCGTAACTATTTTGTATTTGTTAAAACTAAATATTTATATAACAATGATTTTATAAATAAATTATCAATGATGGTTATACCATAATTTATTGAATATAAAAATTATAAGGTATTTTCAATAAATACATTTATTTTAAACAATATTATTCTATTACGATTTAATAATAATCTTGAAATATATATAATTATAGATTTAATGTGAAGTGATTGTATTAAATATGCTAAATTTATATTGGCAAAACTATTAATATTTATAGGTTATTATATTTTTATATTTATCTTATTATTAATTTTATTATATTTCTAGGCATGAACACGAAGAAAATTTGATTTATTACTAATATTCATAATTTAAAATGTCAATCATATATTCTTTCTTATTAAACTTATTATTTATTAAAGAATTATTAAATGTTTCATTATATACCTGTATGCAATTATATTGATCACGGAAGTAGTTATAAATATTATTGATTACTTTGTAACGATAAAAATTGTATATTTATAATTTGAATTCTTTATATTTTCTAGCGTAACTCGATTTCATAATTCGATTAGATATACTATTTATATAAATTTATTAACATACATTATATTAAGAGAGAAAAAATTAAATCTTTGTAGAATTGTTTCTTTTTTATAATCTTATAGTTTCCTTAAAGCTCTGCTGATTTTTTCATACCTAATTGATTTACTTTCTTTCATTTATAGTAAGTGCAGATATCATATCTTGATTCTCTTGTTACTTTCAAACTACGGATGCGCACAGAAAACCACGTTGCGGCTATTATTATTAATTCACAAAGGGTAGTGGTTTGTCATACAGGAACATACGTCATTCATGAAAAAAATTTGTATGTGCCTATAAACGTCTCAGTTTATTTCTTAATTTGCATAAAGAATATTACTTTATATACCAAATTATAATGGAAAAATCACAAGGTACAATTATTCGATATGTCAATACTTTTTTGGATAATATTGTGATTTCTTGAAATATGATTTTAACTCTATATTACATATAATGTGCAATAAATATTAAAGAATAAACATTATTTTAGTGATGTATAAAATAGATTTAATCATATATTTTTAACTAGTTTAATTTATATTTTTTCATATGCTATATAAGGTTTCGAAATGTGTGTCAGTGTAACTCGAGCATTAATGATCGGTCTCGGAATTTGGCCTGGAACTAAAGATGTCCACTGGTATTTGCGATGCCGTTTTCTCATATCAATCTTCATAATGGTATTTTTTATTAATATTCCACAGACGAGAATGATGTTTCACGTTTGGGATAATTTCCAAGTACTTATGGAAATTCTAACGTCAGCTAATTTACTGACAATACTAGCTTGCGTTAGGCTATTTGGACTCTGGTATTATAAAGAAGGTATATTCCAAGGCTAATTAATTAAATCATTTAGTGAAAATTATTGTTTCGTATATCATTCAGAAATTTCAGGATAAAATGTGAATTTCGATTGTATGAATAATAATATTTTTCTAATAACGTTTCTAATAAAAATTGTCAATTCAATTGTATTATAATACTATTTCATTTATACTTATTTGTCAAGTAAATTATATAATTTGAAATCAATTACAAATTAAAATAGAATATAATTATTAACGATGTTGCTATCAAATGCCTAAATTTTAATAAAATACATAAGTATTTTATCGTTAAAATGATATTTTGTCGCACATTTAAAAAGACTAATTAATTGTATTATTTAAATTTTGATTGTACACTAAATAATCTATTTATCCAATGTACTGCGATTAAGCAGAAAATTTTATCACGAAGAATATAAAAAATGAAAAACATATTTAATGAAGAGATTTACTGTTGTTTCATTATTGTTTACAATACATAAATTAAATATTAATAATTAAGCAAATTTGTTAATTTATGAAATTTATTGTATAATAACAGACTTATATTATAGTATACTTTAGAAATTAATATCTCATTTTTAATTACATAATGAATATATTATATTAAGTTATTCAAATTTTACTTAAAAAATTAGACATGTAAATAAAATAAAAATTATTCACATATTAATGCTTACTATAAAATAATTATGAATTGCAAATTTCATTAATTTAACTCTTAATTTGTAAATAAATAATACCTTAGTTATTTATATTATGAATCATATATTTAAAGATTTAAATTATTTGGTCATAAAAATCGCCGAGGACTGGAGAGAAAGTGGAAAAGAAAAACAACGCGTTATGTGGACAAATGTTAAATTCAGCAGAGGAATTATTCTCGGCTGTGTTATTTTAAGTAACGGAACAGTTATTGCTTATGCAATTGAAAGAATTCTGGTATTAGACTTTAGCCCATCTGTTTTGGATTATATGGATAATGAGTCATCAACTAGACATATGTTTTATCTTTCCAAATTTTTTTTCGAAACTAAAGATAGTCCCATTTTCGAAATATGTTGGGTTTTTCAATTAATAGGAAGTATACTAGGAGCTAATACGTTTTCATCTTTTGATGGATTTTTCATTTTTTCTATATTACACTTATGTGGACAAATAGAAAATTTGCAAACTGAATTTAAAGAAGTAGTTAATCAAAGTCGAAAAACAAAACAAGGTTTTGCAGAGTCGCTGGGTTCCATTGTCAAAAGACATAATCAATTGAATCGGTAATAATTTATCTTTTTTAAAATAATATAAATCTTTTAAATTATAGTAATAGATTGTTAATGAGGTTATTAAAATCACAATACTTTTAACAATAGCCTAATGATGATATTTAGTTATTAACAATCAGATGTTTAATTAATTGGTTGATTAAATAGTATAATAATGTGACTATTATATAAGAAAATTAATAAATGTGTTTTGCACAATTAATGCATTTTTGCACAAATCAATTACTTCAGTAATCTATAGAATATTTGATTAAAAAAAAAAACATTAATTTTATTGTAGATTTATGAATTGTATAGAAGACAATTTTAATAAAGTACTTCTTATTCAAATAGTTGGTTTCTCTATAAGTGTTTGCCTACAAGGTTATCACATAGTGTTGGTAAGTAACATTGATTTTTCACTTTTATAGTAAGTTAATTTAATTATTTTCAGATAATCACAGAAACGCATGATAAAAATTTGGCTGCTATAATTTATTTAATATCATATACTTTTGGAAATATAACTAGAATTTTTCTTTATTGTTTTGTTATCGAAAAACTACGAGACGAGGTGTAATATAATTCTTAAAATATTAAGTGTTACAATGAATTAAAATCTTTAAAAATACAATATATTTATAATTTTTAAATTACTAGAGTACAAGTATCTTCTATATTATTTATGATTTAAATTGGTATGATTTAAAACCACATGAATCAAGAATGTTGATAAACATAATGCATCATGCAAAATTTCCGCCGAGAATAACTGCAGGAAAATTTTCTGACTTCTCACTTGAATATTTTACAACAGTTAGTCATTTTATTCACAGATTATTTATAATATTATTTATAATATTGACTACTTTTACTTTGATACTTATTTTATAATGCTATACAGGTAATGAAAACTTCATTAGGATATTTATCGATGATACTCGTTATCCATGAAAAATTTGCAGTAGAACATTGAAATTGATTATACACATAATTTTGAACTTAATTATTTGTACAGTTTGATTAAGAAATACGTTATTATTTAAATAAAATAAATAAAACTTGGCTTAAACAAGGAAAAATTCTGAAACAGTAAATCCTCGGATGAGCCATTATAGAATATCGTTATATTATCAATAGTGATTTATCAATAATTAAATTTATTTTTAAGTTAATATTCAATAACACTCTATTAATGAATTTTTTATAATTATATTTATCTATAATGATTAATATTAATATGAATTTATTAGCTATGATATAATAATCGTATATTATTTGTTTCATGAGTTAAAGATTGAAGAATTAAAAACTTATAAATATATTGTAGTAAGAATATCAATTTCGTATAATTGTCATATTCTTTCAAGAATTCTGCTTTTTCTTATGTAAATCGTATTTTGTAAAGACTGTAAAATAAATATCTTATTCTAGTACCTAATTATTGTATATTTATTTATTGTAGAAATTAAATTAAATGAATACATGTATTTTTAAATTCAGTAAAAATAATAATGGAAATATATTTCTATTCAATAATCACATTTAATTATTTATAAGCGAGTAAAGGCTTTATTCAGCATTATAGTATATTCAGGAAAGATGATTTATAAGATGATAATTTATAAAACAAATTGATATTCTTTTATATATATGACGCATATATAATTTATCAATATATTATCAATTGATAGATCATTTCAAGAGTAGCGATCTAAGAATGAAAGATATAAAAGACGATAGAATCATATTTTTTTAACAAATATATGACTAAGTCTCTTTTATTTTTTCAATATAATTTAAAATTGTTAATGTTCTTTCGTTAAATGTCATACAGCTTAAATTAATATAATTTTAAATTAGTAGTACGTACAAACACCATAGAATATTAAATGAAAAGAAAATTATAAACACATAATAATAATCGTATAGCCTGCTGTCTAATCCTGGATCCAATGAGTAGAAGAACCAAAGTATATTGAACAAATTAGACATAAAATTATCAGTATTGAAAAGTACTGCTTGTGGTCTGTTAAATAAAATTTAAAAATTAATTGATTCTATCTGATTAATTTAACACACAGCTACACGAGTGTGTCTTTTTCTTACTACAATTAATTTATGAATGAAATCTAATTAATATAATAATGTTTTTATATTTATTACTGTGTAGAATTTAGAATATAGAAGAGACGAGATCTTTATAGACTTTATTAACACTAATTTTCGGAATAACGGATAACAATGAACAAAACTTATTCAGCCATACCTTCAATATTACTCATTGAAAGTTACAGATGTTCAAAAAGGCTTGATAATATTTTAATTCGAGAGTTTCAACGAATAATATGGAATGCATAGCATGGTGGATAGAAAATATGCAGCAGACAAGTACGCATTTAATGCATCATGACAATTATTTAATTATTAAATTCCTATAATTATCATCTATGCGCGCATTAGTCGATATGATTTAACAATGTCACTGTAATATGGAAAGAGCGGAGCAAGTATTTTGATTTTTGGCTAACCATTTAATTTATTGCTATTCGTATTTTCAGTTAGATGTTATGTTGATGTATTTTTTTAATCTGATTTAATTTTGAAAACTACAGTTTCAACATCAAAATACAAAAATATTATGAACGCGATTTAACAAAATTATCTGATTTTGAAATACACTTTGTAATAATGGTATACCTGAAGTAAGAAATAGGATTGGAATTATTTAAACAAATTATTATACATATTTGTAACAATATATTATAATTATCATTCATTAAAATAAAGTAACTGGAATAATTATTTATTATTGAAAATATTGATTATTTTCTTACAAACGTTTAATCAAACATTGTAAATACATTTTTCTAAATCTAAATCAATTTCATAAAACTTTAATTAATTACATATTTTCTGTATTTCTTTATAGAATCGGTAAGAAATTGGTTTTAAAAATTATCTGTTATTGATTTATGTGTAATTCGTTTAGGTCTATTTTCCTTTCAGTTTCCTTTTAATTTCTCAACAATTAATACAAATCTGCCAATTCTTTTGAAAAATTTTGTATATTTTCCGTGCTTTATTTTTTCCATGCAGCTACTATATTATAATAAATTATTTATAATAAAAATTAAATGATGTTTATTACTTAATCATAAATCAACTATATTTATATTGTTAAAACTCCAATAATAAAAGTCAGAATAGGAAAGTAATTCGTTTCATACTAACAATAATAATTAAACACCTAGTATTAAGATAAAAATATATTCATAATTTATTGGATAATTGATATAGAATATTTAATATTTTTAAAAAATTAATCAATAAGTTAAAAATGTAAAACAAATGAAATTAAACTTTGTGAAATGTTCCAATTATTCAAACTATTGTTAGGAAAATTCACATAAATTAAATTACACGGTCAAAGTTTTTTCCACTTTGTACTATTGTTCAATTTTGTTTCATCCATGTAGTTTAGTGACTGAAAATACTAATTTCAAGAATTATGAAGTTTTACCACAATATAGTTATAGAAACTTAGAATTTCATTCAACTTGAAAATAGCTCTTAGCAAAAAAGAAAGTTTGAATTAATTTCTTTAATATTGCATGCATATTTTTATCAAAATAATTTTATTACGGTTTAAATTAAATTTTTAACAAAACATACTAATGACATGGATTTGTAATAAATAAAGTAAAACTTTTTAAAAAATTCCTTTGTTTTAATGAATGTTTATAGCATTGT